TGTATTCTACACACTTATATTGTATGTACATGTACGTACACATGTATGTACACATATGTATGTATGTATGTGTATGCACATTCTATCCATGAAACTGTTCTTTTAACTTTTTTTTAATGAATGAAGAAAATATATTAACTTTAAGTCTAATATTTATTTTCACAAACATTTAATTTGGTACTTAAACTGTGTTATTTATATCTTTTGGACACATTCTTTGCTTGTTTCAGATGGCTGTTACTCAGCTGTTACTAACTTATTTATAATGAAGTTATATTTGTTACATTATTTTAGCTCTAGTCTTGTGGATGGATGTCTGATAGGCCATTTTTTATTTGCACTGGCATGTATGTCACTTAATCAGAATAGGCAAGGCTGTTAAAATAGCTTTAAGGACACATTCTATTGTGTCAGGTTAAATGGATTACAAAAAGTAATTATGTGCTGGTTTTCCAGACTTATAAGCATCTCTTTATCACAAGCACAGTTTTCTTATAGAAAACAGACCGTCAGTATATGAATGTCTTGAAGGAATCTGGTTAGCAACTACATAACAAGCTTCTAAAACAAGGCTAGTGAGTGCATGGCAAGATGTGAGGGAATCACATTTTTTTAATACATACAATTCTCATTGTACACACAGTCATCAAGCATATCTTTGCATGGTATTCTACTGAATATGCTGAGGCTTGTTTCTCACAGGAAGTGCAGTAGCAGCTATGAGTACTGTATATCACTACAAACATAGTATGTCTATTCTCTACACAAATGCTAAACATCATGGTTTCATCTTGAATTAATGTATTTTCATAGCAAATGTAGCCCTTCAAGTTTAAATAAGGGCCTTGTTTTGTGTTTTTGGTTCATACCTTTTTGTTTGCTGATAATTATTCATATCTACTGTGTATTTATGAAGATTTTGTTGCCAATGAGGTGTAGTCTTTTTGATATGGCCAGTCCTCAAGTAACGTTAGTGTATTGATGAAGGCCAACTTGATTTGTATATTTGAATTGTGGTACATTCCAAATAGACACATGTAATCTTGCAATTATTAATAAATGACTGATTAAATCGTATTTACTTCTGTTCGTTAATATTGTATCTATGGTCTCATTGCCTCTCAGGAACGTTCTGTTGTGTTTGTCTCATGAAGGTACTTACACAAACATCCTCGAACAATGGAGAAATCAACAGTAGTCATGCTCGCAGTTGTTTGTTTCATATTCAAAATTCTGTTCAGCTCTTGTTTTTTGCACCGTCTGGCTGTTAAACAACAACCAGTAAACTTGAACAACAGCGGAAAGTCAAACATCGCGTTCTAATCGCCGAATCAAGCACCTGAAGCGAGAATGACCAATCAAATACAAGAACTCGTCACTATGGAAACACCGAACGCTAAAACAGGAAAGAGCAAAGCAGCGTTAAGGAAATCCAGGTGGTTTCAACACATTAATCATCGTTTTGTTTCACTTCTCACCGTGAGTATACAGCGAATAGATTATTAAGGATAAATAAAGACTTTATACTGTGGCGTCATGTGCTTGTTTGCTGAATTACAGCAATTTAAGAGCATGTTGTTTCCTTACTCCATAGTCAGTAGTCCACGATTAGAATTACTCAGTCATAGCTCATAGCTAATAACTGTGTATTAAAGTTGAATTACTATAATATATTATAATTACAGTGCATGCCGTTTTTATGAGCTCATATTCAGAGACTACACGGAGTAATTTTAGAATTCATTTTGTCACACCATTTCATTTAAAAATGAGCTAGTGAAAGAAAAAGGTGAAAACTTCAAAGGTATGGCAACCAGTTAAAGGACCTATGATATACACTTTCATTACATGTTCATATAAATGTAACAATTTCCTTAAACACATTATGCATCAACTACACAACAGAGGGTTTCGTAGTCATTCCATACAGTAGAACCATTTTTGGTTTCCTAAAGAACCTTGCAGTAAACAGTTTTTAAAAGAGTGAAAAACATTGAAAAATTCTAAATAAGCTTTTTCTACTTTACAGAACCTTTTGTGCAATGGAAAGGTTCCATGGATGTTAAAGGTTCTTTATGGAACCACGGACACCAATAAAGAATCTTTATTTTTAAGTGTTGCCAAATAAACAGATAAAAGCCTAACAATCACTCTTGTCACCTTTGACACAGATATCTACTTTATATTAATGATGAAAAATGCATGGAAGCTTGACTAAACATCTATTTTTGGGTAAAGAACAAAGACGGTCAACCTTCAGCAAAAGTATGTCTTGTCCCTTTCATGACTCTGTCAAACATTTCATAATAGATTTTATTGTAAACTTTAATATATATATATTAAAGTTTATAAAAAGTATACACACATTTTGAGCACATGAGAGCTTAAAAGCAACTGGCAGAGTTTTGACAAGGTTGAGTCTAAAATAATGTGGCAAGTTTACCTTTGGTGTCTAACAACTATTAACGTTGGGGTTTTGGGAATCTACCACACATGATCAAAAAAATCAACCAATTATTTATTGCACACAGTGTTTCTCACTGAAGTCAAGCAGCTGCACTAGTGAATGTATTGTTTTATTCCAGAATCAGCCACACCATCTAACAAATGCAGGTGGTGTGGTATTGTTGCCTGAGTCTTATGATTGTATGCATCCTCTTTATTTGGCTATTGAAAGCTGTCTTTGCACCTGTTCGGATTTCTGTGAGAAACACTCAAAAATTCAAATACAAATTATGTTTGTTATTAATTCACTCCAAAAATTTTCTCTTTCTTTCCGGGTTGGGATGATCCTTTTGCTTTGTGGTTTTGGTGATGAGGGTCTCTGAAAAGGCTACCAGTTTGTTTTATAACATTATTTTCTCTTTTCCATTTACAGGTGACAAGAGATGAATTCTGGAACTATTACAGTGGAGTCAGCGCTTCTATTGACAATGATGTATATTTTATTTTAATGATGAAAAATGCATGGAATTTATGAGGGGTTGTGCTTTTAAACAAATTGATAATGCTTGTGAAATCAAAGCAAGTTAGTCTTAATAACCTGACACAACTGAAAAGTGTTTTAGGGATATTAATAATGAATCTGGAAAATCAAATGATAGAAGTACTGTAGAAGCCTAAATTGTGTGTAAAATGTGAGCTTTGTCAGTGGAAACTGATTTTTAGGGTAAATCGCTGCATCATATTTGTGCTGAAACAGTGTGTATACAGTAGGGAAAATATTTATTTGATCCCCTGCTGATTTTGTAAGTTTGCCCACTTACAAAGAAATGAAGGGTCTGTAATTTTTAAGGTAGGTTTATTTTAACGTATAGAGACAGAATGCCAACCAAAAAATCCAGATAAAACACATTATATAAAGGTTAGAAATTGATTTGTATTTCAGTGAGTGAAATAAGTATTTGATCCCCAAGCAAAACATGACTTAGTACTTGGCGCAGAAACCCTTGTTGGCAAGCACAGAGGTAAGATGTTTTTTGTTGTTGGTCACCAGGTTTACACTCATCTCTGGAGGGATTTTGATCCACTCCTCTTTACAGATCCTCTCTAAATCCTTAAGGTTTCTTGGCTGTTGTTTGGCAACTCGAAGTTTCAGCTCCCTCCACAGATTTTCTA